TGTATAAGAGACAAGGGTTGAAGAGTCGCGCTGAGCCAGCGCTGAGGGATCTGGGGGAGTGGGGAACGGTCAGGGAGAGGCTCATGGTTGGGTTGGAGGAGCTGCGAGGGCTTTTCCAACCGAGATGATTCTCTGATTCTGAGATGCATTTTCAGCTGCCAAGGCCTGCTGAGCAAGATCTCTGAGCAGAAGGGGCCACTGGCTCCTAGGCAGCTGCTCTATCAACACCCCAAACGTGTTAAGAGGTTGATGCAGGACAGAGAGACAAAGTACATCATTGACTGCCCGCTCCCGTTTGCCCATGTCTCCTATGCAAACAGTCATCTGTTCTGCTCTTTCAATCCTGAAAAATACTGACATAACCCAGTGAGTTACTGCAGGAGCAGTTGGTGTTTCCTTATCCCCCCCTGCCCACCCTCCACTGGGGAGGGCGAGCGTGTCTGCTCTCAGGGAGAGGGACGGAAGCGGTGAAGGCTCGAAACGGGCTACAGTGCCTTTGCTGAAAGGACAGGAGCTGGTCTGTAGAGTATCTTTATTGGGTTGTGTTTCCTTAGTGTTGGAACAGTGTCTTCTGCCCCAATAGCATCTGCTTTTGAAATGAAAGACTGGGAAATTAATTAATGCAAATGTTTGCTGCAGCCACTGATGAAGAATCACTCCTTGTGCAGCGTGAGCCAATACGTTATAGAGCACCAGACATCAGGAAACACCACGTGGTCCGAATACGTCGCTAATGGCACTACCTGTTCATTTCCCTGGACTGAACACACACACACTGTTACAGTTTTAGCCATGAATTCAGTTGGAGTTTCTTCAATTAATTTTAATTTAACTCTATCACAGCAAATGAGCACAGGTAAGAACACCTGTTAGTAACTGCTCTGAGATGTGGAAGATGCTGGGGAATCCTTGTGATGCTTTTGGACAAAGCTTTCTTTGTAATAAAATTCCCTTTGTTAGAATAAAAAGATGTTTTGTGACGATGTGTTCAGCTGTATATGGGAAACAGATTCTGTTTCTCACCAACGGAGCTATTTGAAAAACGGAATTTCCATCGCATGAAAATCTCAGTGATCTTTGGGCTGGGAAAAGAGTTGTCTTTCACTGGGCTGTCTTCCCTCCACTAACAATTTAAAGTAATTAATCAAAGAAAAATCGAATCTTACTGATCGTTCATCTACTTTGTCTCGGGAACACCCAACATTCCTGCTAGGGAATGTTTTGCTCTTTCCAAGATGAAATATGCTCTTGTTCCTCTGGCTGCACACCTGACGGCCTGCCAGAGTACATAGTTTTCCGAGGTTTGGCTTTACTCCCTCAGCAGCCTTGTCCTTGATCCGGCAGCACTCTGCTTTATTAATAAAATAAAGGCTGTGGCGTTTGAATACTTCAATTGTGTAACCTTCACATGCAGTGGGAAACGTTACTGCAGTCTGCTCATAGAACTTTACTGCTGTAATGGAATTCTAAAAGCATTTTTATGGATAAAATCCTTTCCGATAGTATGTGTAAGTGTATTCTGGAAACCCCGTGGTTGGCAGCAGAGGTAACAGGAAGCATTTGTCTGACTGCATTGTTACCTTGGTTATTATGTAGAGAGATTCAGTAGGATTGACCTTAACAGTGCTCTCAGTGGGTGCTTTACTAGCTAAGTGTTGACAGTTCAGTAGTTGTTGATAAGTTTGTTGATAAGGAGTGATAATGAAGGAGGTGCACAGGACATTCAGGATATTTGTTTGATGTCTGCTAAAAAACTTGATCTGTTTAGCATTCAGGACTAGTTGGTATAAACCAAGCTTGGCTGGCTTACGTGAATTAAAGATCAGGCTTTATTACGTAGAAGATGATTAAACGAATAACTGATGAAGTGCTGCAACCATAGGAGTCATTCGTGTGCCTGCAGGTTATGGTGTTACACCTCCCTGCTCAGCAGCTCTCGTCCCACTCCTGTAAGTCCCCCCTCTGTTCCCCTTGTTCCCTCAGTGAACGCCGTGCGGTCGCTCAGCGCTTACCCGGTGAACAGCACTTGTGTCATCTTGATTTGGACTCTTTCACCTCAAATCCATGGGATAACTTCTTTTGTTATTGAATGGAAGAACCTTAACAAGGAAGAGGAGATGAAATGGGTGCGAGTTCCTCCAAATATTACTAAATATTATATTTATGGTGAGTGTGCACTTGAAAATTTAACGCATTATGTTAATTGTTATGGAACAGAAAAACGTGGCATTACTAAGTTCTCAGATTCTTTTTCTCCCCCTCCCTGTTTCTGGTGGCTTTTATGCTAAGGACCAGTGGAGCAATTCTTGATTATCATTAGAGGACTGGCTGCAAAGGATTGGCTGTTGCGTTATCAATTGGGTTAACGGAGAGTGAAGCTCAGAGGTGTGTTCGATTTTTGGCGATACAGTGAAATTAGTTCTGGAATGTTGAGTACACCACCTGAAGTTAGCATGTGCATTCCATTTGCAGTTTGGTTTTAATCTTAGAAAATTTTACAATAGCTCCATAAAGGTGTTAATTCCACGGCAGAATAATGCTAGATGATCCAGTATAGATTAATAATCTTCTTGGATTAAAGTAGGTATCTATAAAATATGGCCTTTGTTACTCCCCTCTCCAGGCTGAGCTGAGCTCTGGTGTGTGACCAGAGCCTCCATGGCAGTAGCTGTTTAAAAGTTTTTGGTCAAAAGGCTGTTTTTCTCTTTCCAGATCACTTTATTCTGATTGAGAAGTACCAGTTCAGCCTGTACCCCGTGTTTGCTGGAGGAGTTGGCAAATCCAGAGCAACGGATCAGTTTGCCAAAGGTGACTTACAGCATCTTTCTCCATGTTGTTTATGAAATTGGAGCTTATAAAAGTAAGCTTGAAATGCAGAAGTCATTTTTATCAGAAAAAAAGTCAGTAATAAAGTCATTTTAATATAACTTTAAATGATGATCTAGACTTCAGCTGCTTTAATTTGAAAACTCTCAGTGGGATCAGTTGAGTGAGGGACCTGAATTCCCTTGCATCCAGCTTACCAGCTGAGATCCCAAGTCCCCCCGGCTCTCTGTTCTCCAATTGTGCACCATTTTTTTTTAATTTCATATGCTCTCATTTCATTTCCTAATAGCAGGGGAGCGGTGGGCACCTCCCTCAGGGATGGGGGAGTCACCTTCAGTGTATGGATAAAATATAAAAGGAAGGAAAAGAATTCCTTCCTTTTTGTCTGTTTGTTCAATAAAACTGTTTATCAAGTTTTTTTCTGTTCAAGCTATTGTTTCTGCTGTTTGTTATTTCCCTATTGCAAACTATTTGTTGACAGACAAATTATTTTACTTCATTATTACCTGATATTCTTTTTATTTCCAGTTGGATACGAAAATGAGAATAATGCCAGCTTCTACATGGTTCTGCCAATAGTTATTTCGACCTCTGGTTTGTTGCTTGGAGCGTTGCTGGTTTTGCACCAAAGGTGAGTTGTTTGTTGCCGTATGAAAGTCCCAGATGGGCTTTGGAAGGCGGTGGTGCAGCTTAGGTGATGCCGGCTGCTGAGCTGGGCAAAGCCAGGAATTATTTTTCTTGTATTTGATGTACTGTACTGAAAGGCAGCGACTGTTGGGGGATACAGCACCGAGAATTGAAGTGTCCTGAGTGCCCAGGCTGGTTACCCGGGGGAGGTCGGGTCGCACCCTCGCTGGATGACGACCATCGCTGCTGATCTTTTTGAGTGGGAGGTATCGCCTCGGGCTGTCCCACGGGCTCCTGACTCTGCAGGGTGATCTGTGGGCAAGCTAACGAGTGTCACGGGCTCGGAATTTGTAATGCACCGAGTTCTGTATTGACCTGTCATCACAGACTGAGCCAACTGGAAAAAAATCCCGCTGAGTTCTGTGGAAGGTGGGTTGGGGTCATACTCAGCAGAGACTGCCTGTACCTTTTATATTTTGCATGACTTCTGCCTGGTCTGTCACTTCTTTATTTCTTTATTTTTTCTATTAAATTTTAGCCATCTATAATACCTAAAATGATTGTTTCATTGTCCGGTGTTCTGGATAAATAAAATGGCACAGATCCCGTTCCTGACGTAGCACAGGGG